TTCCCCAACCTTTTAAAAAACTCTTCATTCCATATATTCAAAGGCATGCCGTAGCACTGGAGCCATGTGTATCTTTCTTTTGCCACCTCCTTTAGGCTCCAAGGTCTAATATCACTGAGCCATTCTCCTGTCCACCCACTGCCCTCTTTGTTAAACTTCGATATCTCCTCTTCATCCTCACTGTGTATTAGCACCATGTTTCCCCCCATTGGAGTGATGTTTATTGAGAAGAATCCTTCGATCATAATTTTGTCTTTAAGCTCTGTAATCATTTTTGGCCTTTGAATCTGCCTTACAAGACAGTTCTTCAACCATTCTTCATTTTCTGCACTTGGATGGCACTCCCATACCTCTTCCGTCTCACCCCTCTCTTCATTCACTCTACTGTTCTTCTCTGGAGTCCATCTCTTCCCCTGTACTCCTTTTCCTTTTGACGCCTCCTCATTACTCCTTACTGCATCAGCATACGATTTTGTTCCAACGGTGGCTTCAACTTGCTTGGAAGGGCATGCATTAGTCTTGCTCTCCCTTTTCTTCATTCCTAGATCACCATTTTCCTCATTGTACATTGCTAGATTTGCTTGAAGTCTCCTGTCACCCACCTGTATTTTGCTCAGGTTCAACTCCATCTCTCTTGGATTTCTAATGTTCAAGAATCGAACAAACCCAAATTTTCTACCCCATTTGTCATTCTTATTTGCAATATAGATCTGGATAACTCTACCATATTTCTTGAATTCTTTCCACATATCCTTTTGCTTCCATTCCTCTGGGAAGTTTGCGATAAAGAACGAAGTGGTCTGCTTTAGTAGTCCTTTGCTCAGTCCTCCTTTGTCCCTTTTAAACCACTCCACCTTCCCCTAAATCATCCCATCTCTTCTGCCCTTATATCCTGCACCCGTGTCATATCTTTTCTGGAGGTATGGCTTGAAGTTATGGTAGGATCTCTCCCTCACTAGATGCCACTCAGGTTGCTCACCAGCCTCCGGCGGAGGGGGGACCTTCGTCTTAGGCTGGTGGTTCGGGTTGTAAGGAAAAAAAGGTCCTCTCTCTCTATGTTTCTCTCTCATCTCTCTAAAAATTTAAGTACTCTTATGAAGGTGTTAGGTTTTAACATGAGGGGAGCCAACTTTGTGAATATTTGATTAAACTAATTACACCAACACCTAAAATAATTACTCATTAAAATTGAAAAAAAAGTAAGAATGATTGTAAACTTAGTTATGCTCAATGTAATATATACCATTCCTTTGAGATTTTTGTAATCAATGCTTTGTCTAGTTGTATTTGTAAAAAAAGAAAACGATTAAAACAAAAATCAACTAAAAAATATAGCATGTAATAACCTCATAAATATAAAAAATTTGTTATAGTAAATTTCAAAGTAAAATAAATAAGTTTAACTCAATAGAAAATTTTGAAGTTGGGGTAAAGTTTTTATCTTTAATATTGTCAAAGAATAAGTTATTGTGAACTTAATTGAATATTTCAAGCTAATTTTATGCTCTACAAAAGTGAAAACAATCTACAGTTTTCAATTCAAAAGAAACAGAGTAGGAGGGATGATGGACATGAGAAATGTTAAAAGCTTAAAACGTTCTTTTTTGTCAATTTTTTGGCAAAAAAAAAATGTTAAAGATTAAAAGGAAAGTTTTTATATTTAATAAATCAGCTTAAAGACTCACCAATTGTTAGGTTAACATTCAGTTATGAATTTAAGAACAAGATTTATGAAAAAACCTAAAGGTAATTATTTTAATAAAAATTTAAATAATATAGTGAATAAAATAAAATTTGTGGATTAAAATCTTAAAATAAATATTTGTGGACTAACTTTAAAGTTTTTCAAAAAACTAGGGGCCATCGTCCCTTTTCTCTACATAGCTCCACCACGTGTACTTAGTTAGGTAAAAACCAACATTTAGCCCCTCACCTTGTAAAATGATAGTTTTAGCCCTTTATCTTATAAAATTGATAAGTTTTAGCCCCTCACATTACAAAGTTGGGAGATTTTAACCTGTTACCTTATATTATGATTTTTTAGTCCCTCACCAGTACGAATTAAAGAAAATAGTCCTCACCTAACATCAAGTTATAATGTTCTGTTAGTTTTGTTAGTTGACTGTTAACATCCATTAGCATTCCGTTACAAAAAAAATGAAATTTAAATTCAATTTTATTTGTTAGTTCCATTGACGGAATGCTAACGGATGCTAACAATCAACTAATAGAACTAATAGTTAGTTAACAAAACTGATAGTCAGTTAACAGAACTAATAGTCGCATAACAAAACTAATAGAACATTAAAATATGATGTTAAATAAGAGTTATTTTTTTCAATTCGTAGAGACAAGGGACTAAAAGTGTCATAATATAAGGTGAGAGGCTAAAACCTACCAACTTTGTAAGGTAAAGGGTTAAAAGTGTTATATTATAAAATTAGGGGCTAAAACCTACAGGTCCCCAAGAAAGCAAGAAGGAGCTGGAACCTCACAATCTCAACAGCTGCTTGGTCCATTTGGGTAAGCAGAAATGGTATTATTTTTGAAAAACAGCCTTGGAATGAAAACAGATTGATTGACTTAATTCAATCTAGAACTTTCTGCTGGATCAAAGGAAACTCTACCTGTGCTAAGTTCAATTTCATGGACTGGTGTCAATTCCCACTCCATTGTGCAATTGATTTTTAACTTATTGAACTTTTAATGTAATGTATGGGTGAGTACCCCTTGTACTCTTTTATTAATAACACTTTTGATTCATCAAAAAAAAAAAGGGGGCTAAAACCTACCAATTTTGTAAGGTAAGGGGCTAAAGTTGGTTTAGCCTACTTAGTTATGGGTGAATGATAATATTTGTTTTTGATGCACAAAATACAACCTACTTATAATTTATATAGCTTTTATTTTTGGCCAAAGCCCCTATTTGCACCCTCCATTTATTTCTTTTTCACGGTCAACACCTTCCAGAATTTTTTCTCCCTATTCACACCCTTAACTTTTCAAAACCCGTAAAAAACCCAACATTTTAACGCGCCGTCACGATACCGTTACAAAATGTATTACGTGGCACTCAAAAATCGACGTGGCCACTATGTGCCGTTAGTAATCCAACGTGAATACTTTTTTTTTATGATGTGGCTTATTTAAATAAAAAAAAATAAAAAAATTTAGAACAGGAGCTCTGGGTTCCTCACGACGAGGAACCCAGAGTCAGAAACCCCGACTGCCCGATCTGGGTTCGGTGAGGAACCCAGATCGGGTTCCTGGTGAGGAACCCGATCTATGTTCCTTGCCGAACCCAGAGTTGGGTTCCTCACGACGAGGAACCCAGAGTCGGGTTCCTCATGGGTTCCTCCGAAGGAACCCAGCTCGAACCCGATCTGGGGACGAGGAACCCAGATCGGGTTCCTCACAGAGAACCCAGCTCTGGGTTCCAGAAAAAATTTTATTTTTTTTTTAATTTTTTGGTGGGGACGTGGGGGACAAGCGAAAACCGTGCAGTGGGTCCCACTACACACGTGGTGTCCACGTGTACAAAAAAGAAGCCACGTCATAAAAAAACATATCCACGTCTGAAAGTAACGAATAAAGAAACGCCGCATGTGCCACGTCAATTTCTGGGTGCCACGTAGTGCATTTTTTAACGGTGCCGTGACGATCTGTTAAAATATTGGGTTTTTCACGGATTTTGAAAAATGGAAGTTGTGAATAGGGAGAAAAAATTCTAGAAGGTGTTGACCGTGAAAAAGAAATAAATGGAGGGTGCAAATAGGGGCTTTGGCCTTTATTTTTCAGAATACCTTTGATTGCTTAATGGCTATCATAATGTTACCTTTTTTGGTCAACTATTATAATGGTATCTGGTTATTAAAGATTTTTGTCATGTGGGTTGTTTTGTTCTTAAACTAAGGGCTACACAATACTGATAACTAAAATTTGTTATGTTAATTTTTTAGGACATCTTAGTTTTACTTATTAATTAATGTATATCAATATTTTGTAATAGTAATTTTGTTTGAAATTGAAATTTAGATATATGAGTAACGATATAAATTTTAGGTAATTTTTTTGTATTTAAAGTATATAATTCAATTTTCATAGATGTAAGTCCTTGTCTCATTTACAAGTCAAAATTTAGTCTCACCTAAGATAAAACCCTAGCTTTGCCAAGTTACCACATAGCTATGAGAATTGTTGGAGTAAAAGGCTCATATGTAAGGTGATTGAGGTAGGGTTAAGTGCAAAAATATCTTTCATTAAAGGAAAAAACAAGTTGAAAGAGTGGAATATACATGTGGAGGTTCATGAACATAATAAGCATGTCTTCTTGAGTTTAAGATGATGTCTTCTCATATGTATTCATATTTTCTCACACATGTGCTCCTAAATTAACTATCCCAACTAATTTTTCAACCATTGGTATTAGAGCCAATTGTGCGATTTGTGATCGGGATTTGGGTTTGGTCAAGATTATGAGTATGGTAAATTACATGGAAGAAACAACTTTATAGTAGTCCATTGGCAGGAATTGAAGAAGATTGTGATGTCTTTGGCAGATGAATTAAGGTCTGTTCTTACACTCACGGGAGAGCAAATAGATTTACCTGTGAATGGGAGAAAATGTTGGAGTAAAAAGATTCACATGCAAGATGATGAGCTAGAGTTAAGTGCAATGATTCCATATTAGAGGAGAACAAGTTGAAAAAGTGGAATATATATGTGTAGAAGCCCGTAAACCTAACGAATGAACTTTTATTTCCAATAAAAATGATTTTTAAGTTTAAAGTAAGATTAAATAATTAAAATTAAAATTTCAAATTACAATCAAGCAACAATTGTTGAAAAAGGAAATCTAGGTAGCCATATCATATTATCATTCAATTGATCTTTTATATTATTCTATAATTTCTAATCTTCCTCATTTCACCGAAATTGATCCAATAGATAAATAAATTAAAAATTTATTAAAATAATATAAAAATAAAAAATTCCAAGATAAAAATAATTTAAAAAAATATTTTTTTAATAAAACTAAGGATATATCAATAATAGAAGGATTACAATGCATCCAAGGATTGTTATATAGAAATTACATAAAAATAGAGAAGTATAACCTATAGTATAAATTATAATCACACCTTAAATTAATCTAGTTAATGCATTTAAAAGCTAATAATCAAATGCGTACATAAATATTATAACTAGACTCAAACTTGAGAGACGATATTTAAATCTCTTTCCAGCATAATTCACACCTAGACAAAAGATATTGACATGTAACTATAAAAATAACAACAAGGTTATAGCGTGTAAAAAGATCATTAACTTCTTTTAGATCAGCATAGAAATAGAAAAAGATTATTTTGGAAACTTCTTGGAGCCCTGCATAGTGCGTAAAAGGACAAGAAAGCAGCCAGGGAAACTTGATTCGCTTGATGTTTATCCTCTCAAGGTGTCTTATTTGTTGTCAGCGGATGTATTTATGGAATGCTTACAATATTACAGTTTGGATTATAAAAATTAATTATTAGATAGAAGGGTTAATATTTATTATTAAAAGATTTTTATTATATAATGATTAATATTATACAATATAAACTTGAAGGGGGTTTGGGTATTAAAAATCTGTCGTGTTTCAATATGTCATTACTAGGAAAATGGTGGGGAAGATTGCTTATGGAGAAGGGGGGTTTGTGGAAAAGAGTCTTATTTGAAAAATATGGGATTAAGGAAGAGAATTGGCTTTCCTACTTAAGGGAGGGTAGATCCCGAGGCTCCAAATGGTGGAGGGATGTTTGCAAAATAGATGGAGGGGTGGGCATAAAGAATAATTGGGTGAGCTCAGGTTTTGAAGTAAAATTGGGGAATGGTGGAAACATGAAATTTTGGTCAAATGTATGGGTAGGAGAGAGTGCACTTTCTAACAAATTCCCACCTTTGTTTCTATTAACCATAGGTCAAAATTCAAATGTTAAAGATATGGGAACTTGGATGAATGGCTGTTGGCACTGGAAATTATCATGGAAGCATCAACTTCGCTCGTGGGAGGAGGACTTAGTCAAAAAACTTTTAGAGACGCTCAAAATAGCTCACCTAATACAGAACAAAGAAGATCAATGGCGATGGCACCTAGAACTCTCAGGAAACTATACAACCAAGTCTGCATACTCTCAACTCCTAAAAGGCGATACAAGGCCTGCAGGCAACTTCAAGAGGGTGTGGAAAGCCCCCATTCCACCTAAAGTAAGTGCATTTTGTTGGCAATTGCTTCATAGGAAACTTCCTACAAAAGATAATTTAGCAACCCGTGGAATCTTAACTGATACCTCAAGTTAAAGTTGTTGCTGGTGTGATACATCACTTGAGTCACCTGACCACATGTTTGTTAATTGCAACTTGGCTTTTACTTTGTGGATGAAATGCTACGAGTGGTGGGGTATGCAATATGTTATGGGTAATTCTTGTAGGATGGTTTTAGACCAACACAAATGGATTGGGAGCCAAAAATTAATAGATAGAGGGTGGAATATCATTTGGTTTGCAGTGGTATGGACTCTTTGGCTGGGAAGGAATGACTTGATTTTTAACAAAAAGGAAGCAAAGGTCGATTGTTTCTTTGAGCTAGTTCAAACTCAATCTTTTTACTGGGCTAAGAATATTGCAGGAATGAATGGGTTTTCTTTGTCAGCTTGGTGCAAAAACCCAATCAATTGTTTAAAGATCAAACTTAACTAGAAAGACAGAGTTTGAACTAGACCTCTTTGGGATTTTATAATGTTTTGTTCTTTTACAGCAGCTGGTAGGAAAATTTTTTGTAACCTGCTGTTTTGCTGATTTATGTAAGTAATGGGTTGGAATACCCCTAGTATTCCGAAATTAATATATCATTTGCTTTTCAAAAAAAAAATATTATACAATATAAACAATAAAATATTTTTTTATGATAAAATTAATACACACTAAAAAGACAGAAAAAGGGAAGAAGAAGAAGAAGAAGAAGATAAAGGACCAACCTTCTCTTCAATCCGGTTGTTGCAGGGTAGGCACAAAAGTACGTAGCTGCTTCCCTTAAGTAATAGATAAAAAAATATATCTTATATTATTTAATGATTGTATTTTTATACTTATAATATTATATCTATCAAATATCAATTAATTTAATAACATGATTATAAACTACATTGTTGGTCTCAAATTTTCACCCTCCTGTCATTACTGTAAAATTTAACGATTTGTTGCTCTCTTTAGCTGCATAACAAGTACAGTTGATTGACTAAGAATTTTTTTCATTTATATCTTAAGAACACTTTTTTAGCATTAATTATAATTGAAAAAATAAAACTAAGCATTTATTTAAATAATAAATGTTTAAATAATA